GGATGGATGGATGGATGGATGGATGGATGGATGGATGGATGGATGGATGGATGGATGGATGGATGGATGGATGGATGGATGGAGTATCTTTTGTTGTTTCCCTAAATCATTTCCATTTAAAATAAGGAAAACAACTTTGTTTACTGTTTTTGGCTGGATTAATCTTAATCTCAGTAGTTATGATGTCATCATCACTACCTGAGTCATCTTACTAGGGATACCTGATAAAAGATGACATTTAGCATGTCCCTTGTCATGCACATTTCATCTCTTGATCCGGATTCTGTGACATCCGCCTGACATCCCTGCAGATATGTGACTCGCTCAGAAGCTCTGAATCTAGACACTTTGAACAAATAGCAAAAAGTCCCCCTCTGGTAAAGCAGCATGTCTGCTGAATGTATCTGGATAGAGCACAGTAGCTGGGTATCATTATGCTCCCACGGTGCTTTTTGTCCCTAATTGTACCCTGTCACCCTGTGGGGAACAGAGGATTGTACTCGTCTGTGTGATGTGTGCCAGAACGCTTTTGTCTCTGTAAGGAAATGATTGCAGACCCTTTTCTTGTTTTCTATTACAGTGAGTTCAAACATAAGAATGAGTAACACACAATGACTGAAGGCAGCTGTTAGTGTATGTGCTCCTGTTTTGGTATCACAGTGAGGACCATTTCTCTCATTTAAGGACAGTTTATATCAAAGTGAGGACATTGGGATGGTCTTTTCTTCCTTTTTTCTAAGGGTTAGGTTTAGGACTAAGGTGTGAGTGGAGTCTATGTTAAGTTTAGGGTTAGTTATGCACTATTAATGGTTAGGTTTAAAGTTACAGTCAACAGGGCATAGAAAAGGTTGAAAATCAATGGGAGTCAACTCATGGATTGTGTGTATGAACGTGTATTAGGACGTCCTCCTGGGCTTGTGTTTGGATCGGTGTGTGCTGGTGAAGGTTTTTTGGTTGGTTTTAGACTGCACAGATATGCCGCTACTCAGCACTGCTTCTCTGATTATCAGAGAACCTGTGACTAAATGCAGCATGAACTTGCATAGAGATGCTCCTGCTGTTAGACACACACACACACACACACACACACACTGTTGGCCAATGTGGCCCCTGCGTGTCCTGGTGTGTGGATGACCCTGTGTATTTGTGTGATAATGATCCTCTAATGAGCGCTGCAGCTATCACATTAATGAGACAGGCTTCAGAGTCCTCCCTGTGCTGTGTGTGTCTTTGTCACATAGACGTGTGACTTTCTTTCAAGTAAAGACAGCTTCTGTTTTCACTTCTGTTCTTATCATTAGACCTCAGTTTGTGTTCAAGAGCAGCTGATGTCTGCTCGTGTTTATGTCAGAGTCAACAGAAATACATCCCAGATGATGATTCATTAATGGACAACGGTTGAGGCAGTTTATTGCTTTAACACACTTTGACATGACTTAATGCATGACTTTTATTTGGACAGTTAAAAAATAAAGGTGCATTTAAGAATGTTTAGCCTTAGGCCCCGTCCACACGAAGCCAAACCCTGGCCTAAACGCACAAATTTTTCACCAAACCAGCCTCTCATCCATACGAAGCCGGCGTTTCGGGGGTCTGTAAACAATCTTATTTTTATTAATCCTTCAGAGTGGGAAGATTTTGAAACGCCGTTTTCGCGTTTCCATCTTTAAGCTCTAATCGCATTTTTTTTCTTACACGCATGCGTCATAGCGTCGCCTCTAAACACGCACAGTATCACAACAACAATGGCGCTGTACTGTGTTGAATGGTTGCTGCTAATGCTACTCACCCTGCTGTCGGGCTTACAACAGAATCTTCTTCTTCTGGAATATCTCCAGGAAGAACAGAGCAATATCGACGACATAGTTCAGCACCTGAATTTGACTGAACCACAAAAATGGACCCGCAGGGCAACCATGTATAAATATTAGTGCGCATGCCCAACATTTCGTCGCCTATTTTTGCTTTGGCACCACAGCGCCACTTACAGGCCTGGCATACATTTTGCAGTGTTTTCATGCATTCGTGTGGACGATCACATTTATTTTACGTCTCCGTCTTTATGACAAAAGTTCTGGAAAATATTAATGTTTCGTGTTCGTTTTGACTTCGTGTGGACGGGGCCTTATAGTGCAAAATAATGGTGCACATAGGCAGTAATAGTTTGGTTGTATACTTTTAAGTTTACATTGATTAAAAAAGCAAAACAATGTTAGCAGTGCAAAATCATAGTGCAGAATGGCAATAAAGTTTAGTTTTGTGTATATGTATTGTGATGTTAAGAGTTCAGCAGATGAACAGTCTGATGGCAAGGGGGGAAAATGCAGTGGAGCCTCTTCCAGATTGCTGCATCTCCCTGGAAGGGCTGCTGTTGAATTCAGCCCAGGTGTTTGGTTTTGAGAGGCCTTTAAATTTACTGAGTTTACTTTTTGCACAAGATGATAATAGACAAACATTCTTATTATTTTTGCTTTAAAATATATTTAACCTTTCGTTTCCGCACCTGTCTTTCCTTCCCTTGTGTCTTCCCCTGTTATCCATTTGCAGCAATACTTCACTCTCCTCATCATAACAGATGGAGTCATCAGTGACATGGATGAGACACGCCATGCCATTGTTCAGGCCTCCAAGTTGCCAATGTCCATCATCATTATTGGTGTTGGTAACGCAGACTTTGCTGCCATGGAGTTCTTGGATGGAGATGCCAGCGTCCTGAGGTCCAACACAGGAGAGGAGGCGATCCGGGACATCGTGCAGTTCGTCCCATTCAGGGATTTCCGTAATGTGAGTAATGGCTAAGAGCTCTTTCTGATTTTCTTTACGTTTTAGCTGCTTACATTACCAAAAATTGAAATCTCAATAGATAATTTTTTTCTTAAAATAAGTTAATTTTTTCTTGAATTGTGGAGCTAAGTGAAATACTTTGCAACTGGTACAAGACAATTGACATTTAAAAAAACACAATTGTATTGTCTTATTTCAAATTATATTATCTAATTATCTTATTTCAAGAGTAAAAGAACTCCATTGGCAAATAAGCTTATTTACCTGCTAAAATTAAGGATAAATACATGTAATTTAAAAAAATTGTACTTACTTTTAGATCATTTTTGCTGTGTACCATAAGGTGGACCGGTCTTTTTAAAGTTTTCAGCTGATAAAACAGAAGAAGCCATGGGCTACTGCATCAGGCTTTTCAGAATTAGGACAATTAATAGGCGTTTTGCTCACATATTTGCTCCAAGTATGGTTTCTGTATGTTCTCATTGAACTATACCAACTTGTTACTAAGTGGTATTGTCTCACAATGAACACTTTAGGTTTTTGCTACTCTCCTGAAAATAAAAAAAAAGCTTATTAGAAAAAAAAGCCAATTTGAATGACAGTACTTTCTTTTCTTTGTAGAAGTGAAAAATAAAAAAGCCTATTTGTTTCTAAAAAGTCAGCTGCTAATATTCTAACATATCATGGTGGGGTAGAAGTTGGTTGAGGAACCAAATACAGAGATGAGGGAGGCAGAGATGAGTTCTTGCAAGTTTAATGAAATCAAAAAGGCAACAGAAACAAAATCCAAGAACAAAATACAGGAAACAAAAAAACATGAGAATATGGGGAAAACATACATGGGGAGTCAAGTAACAACAAGAAATCAGCAACTAGGAACTGCAGAGGTGGAATATATATGGAGAACAAAACAAATAACGGTCCAATGAGCTGATGTGGAGCAGGTGTGAATAAAAAGTAACCAGAAGGGAGCTAGGGGAAAGGAGGCAACAGAGAGTTACTCAAAAAAAAAAATGCAACACAGCTTAAATATAACACAGAATGGAAAATAAACCAAAGATCAACAAAACAAAATAACATAAATCATTTTTAAACTCAGTGGCTGCTCAGTGGAGCAGAGGGTAACACTGCTGCCATGCAGCAAGAAGGTTCCGGGTTCGATTCTGATTCCATTTGCATGTTCTTCCTGAGCATGCATGGGTTCTCTCTGGATACTCCGGCTTCCTCCCACAGTCCAAAAACATGACTGTTAGGTTCATTGGCTTCTCAAAGTTATCCTTGTGAGTGTAAGTGTGAATGGTTAGTTGTCCGGTTTGTCTCTCTGTTGCCCTGTGATGGACTGGCGACCTGTCCAGTGTGTACCCCGCCTCTCACCCGCAGACAGTTGGAGATAGGCACCAGCACCCCTCGCAACCCCAACAAGGATAAAGCATACGGAAAATGGTTTGACTGAATACTCAGAAGTCCAAAAGGGAAATATCGTAACACAACATGCAAGTTATTGACACAGGACTTTTACAGAAACTAACCCCTTTGTTTTTTTTTATTTATTTTTTTTATGAATATAATTACAATGAAAAAAAGAAAATACAGCTTGGTGAAGAATCATGGAGGTCTATCAACTCACCTGTGCAAATGATCAGTCTTTAAGGTCATGACAAGCACAAAACAGGCTTTAATCAGAGGCAACTGGACTTTTGCTCAGTTTTTTCTTTTGTCATTAGTGCTACTACATTGTGCAAACTCAGTGCACATAGAGCATTAAAAAAATGAGGGAAATGCTAAAATAATATAATGTTTTACCTTTGTATTTCTGAATATTTCTCAGGTTTTCCTAGGAATTGCCCAAAGAGCCACATATGCATTTGGAGCTGCAGGTCTCAGCCCCCATATGGCTTTATTGTGGTTGCAGCCACAGTGGTTGAGCTGATATTGTTAAAGTATTGAGATCATTCTTAGTGATTGTAGTTATTGATGAAAGGGTTTTAAGATCCAAATCCGTAACAGAAAGCAACAACTTTACTTGGTAATTTTCAGAAAAACTTGACTTTTACTTTTTTCATGGCACTGAAGATTAGCCTTCCCTGCATCTAATTTATCTGAAAACCATAGACTATGGTCGACTACAGCTCAGAAATAAGGTAGCAGCAGTAAAGAAACAGGGATGAACCAGAATGAAAACTAGAAGCTTGTTCATAAAAGGTTATAGGAAGAATTTCTAAAGAAATATGAAAGTAGTACATATGTGGTCTGAATTTTAAAATCTTTACACAATAATTTAAATATTAAAAAACACCTTTTTAAATGATGCAGCATTTAAAAATAAACATGAACAACAGTACCTTCAGTGGTGCTTTATGACAATTTCACCAACTAAAGTTTTGAATTTGTAAAACAATTTTTTTTTTAGTTTTAACTGTGTTTTTACTTAATGACTCATGTCCTACTGCCCTGCGCGTCAAGGCAGCCTGTTGCTTCACGTTTTGTGTTTTATCACGCACACAGCACACTTGGAGTTTAGAGAGTCTGCTGTTTGAGGGTTTCTGCTCGGTTATCTTGCTCTCAGCAGAGACGCTGCAAACAAATGGCAGGCTGATGGGTTTCTGAGCTGCGTTTATGTTAATGAAGGTTTGTACATGTGTGCTGCAGGTGAGCAGAGATTTTGGAGCACGCTCATTTTCAGGCTGTCTGTAGGAAGACTCATTAGTGCATTGTAGGGTTTTGTTTTGTCTTTTTCTTTGTAAGTTTTTGCATGAGTGTGTGTGTGTGTGTGTGTGCGTGGGCTGTCTGTGGGCGAACTAACTTCCAGGGTGGTGGGAGGAACAGACAATGTTTACTGGCTTCATTCCAGGCTGTTGGTGGGAGGGCGAGAGACGGAAACAAAATGAACTGAAAGAAAGGGACAGGAATTAATCTGAGACAGGAAATGAAGAAATGTGGAGAAAGGTCTTTTACTCCCACACTTACTCCTAATAATTTAGAGAAGAAAGAGAGTTTGTTTTTTACTATCGCTCATGGTACTTTTTTTTTCTCAAGTAATGGCTATAACAATGGGAAGTTTATGAACTTTAGGAATTCAGATTCTCTGGGCCCTGTTTCACCAAAGCTGAATTCAGAAATCCCAGGATAAAGATAAAACCTGACTTGACTTTCAATTAGATTCAGTTTATCAATATAGCGCCAATTCACAACACAAGTCATCTAAGGCACTTTACAGTTCACCAGATCATACAGTCAAACTGATTTCATTTTTTTTTATCTAAGGAAAACCAGTTGATTGTATTGACTCATCGACTCGAAAGCAATCCCTCACACTAAGCATGGTTGTAGCGACAGTGGAGAGGAAAATGTCTCGTT